GGTTCGAAACTTCGATCCACAACGATTTTTCTTTATCTTTTCCTTACGTATTAAGTTGGTAACATCTGAGACTCCAGCTACTACCCATTTTTGGAATTTCAAAACGAAAGGGTCTGGAGATTGAAATACACCAATTCACGTCTACCACCTGGCGTCTGAGTCAGGGTTGGTGCGACATGTCGCTTCCCTTCTTCTAGACAGACGGGGCCAAACTGCAAGCACTCGCTCACTGTCTATGTAACCTTATCCATTTTCAACTTGTTCCCTTTCTAAACGCATTAGAGCTACCTTTGAGGTCAGTAACGAATGGTACGAGGTCAGAACTGCACACGCTAGCCTTCACTGTGCACATGAGCAACACCACAAGCTCGCTCGTCCGACTAATGGCCTTTCAACCACCTGCACTTCCTCCTGGGTAGAAAAACACTCGACATGGAGGTCGAGAACGGCGAGAAACGTGGTAGTTACTTTCAGTCCCAGCTCCGGTCTATCTGGAAGGAGGGAATCGACAAATTACCCGAGCGCTGGCTAAGCCGTGCGCGAGAAACTTGTATACCTCTGATCCTAAAGACCGGTTCTTTTTGATTCTTGGTGGAAAATGTTGCGTCAACCTGATAAAACAAGTTCTTCAAACTCTTCTACCAATATGCATATAAACAAGTTCATCACCACTCATATAACTTCACTAATGACAGCGAAGTTCGACGAAGTCGAATTATACCAGTAGATTCCAAAGTCCAGTAAAAGATGACTGATCATTCAGTCAGCGGACGACCACAAAATTTTGAGATCGGCGACAAGCGGGGTTTAAAGTCCGCAATTGCGACGCCTCTAGCCCCAGAACACAGAGCGTATCGACTATCAATAAAGCAAGCGCTTTTTCTTCTGTTAGAGCATTACGCATCCTACTGAGCCGTGAACTGGTCTTACTTCTCAAAATAGTGGGCACTATTCAGTTCACAAAGTAGGGGACACTACTCAACCATAAGACCTCGAAACCTTAAAAAACGTAAAGCGAGACGTCGCCTATGGGAGTAACTCATGGGTGTGGTTTCGCGAAACTATGACGCATTTCTCTTCGGCGTTAGTGCCACTTGGTGGCTTTTTGCGCTAACTTGGTGCTACGCCTAATTCCACCGAGCTCGCTGTAAATGATTTACTTAGCGCCCCAATCACAAACATAACATTCATTTTGGCGCCAGCTTGGCCCAACCTTGCTCAATGTTGTCCCTGAGCTAACGCCATTTGGTGAGTGCACCAAAAATGGATGGTATATTCATGATCAGCACATTGCCAATTTTGTAGTAGATAAGGAGTTTTCACCAACACTCATCTCTAAGGGTGGCACTGGACAATTTCTCTTCGCGCTTCTAGTGAATTTGGTAAGCTCACCAAAAAATTCGCCATGCCCAGCAGTTTATCGCACTTAAAGAAAATATTTACAAAATTCTATACTTAAGGGCTTCAAATTTTTCATTTTCAAATCTGATTTTTAGAGGATGGACAATCATATTCACTAGTAAAATTTTGTTGTTCTACTTCATTTTCTTATGATGTTTTTTTTCCAGTTGTGTTGTTACGTCTTGGCACAGTTTTGTTGTGTTTTTCCATGTACTTTTGTACATGCAAATAAATAAATAAAATGGATGTATATTCATGATCAGCACATTGAAAAAATTTTGTATAGAAGGAGTTTCAACAAAAACTCACCTTCTAAGGGTTGCACTGGTGAAGGCGCTGTGGGTGTAATAGTCGCATAGTACCAAAAAAAAGTGCCCTTAGAGTGCTCTATCTGCTCCAGACCAATTCAACCTGTTTCCGCATCCAGTTTTCGAATTGAACTCACTGTAATGTGAAAGAGGGTCGTGCTTACAATGTCACAAGACGAACATTCCACAGGAACCCGCGAAGAATGCCCTACCATTTTTCATCATCCTGTTTACTAAATAAACGACCGTGATTAGTTTCAAACCAACTGCCAAATGGCCTGTCATTCGTAGGCACAAGTCCCAGTTCAAGCACAGTGAGCCACTTGTCAGGGAAATTCAGCCAACGACCGTCCGCGCCCTTCAACTCGCCTCCATCTCCGATTGTCCCTACCCTCATCAATCGTCCCACGTCTCTGGACAAGTCAGACTGAAGCGGTCGCATTTTTTGACTTGGGAAGGGAGTCGTATTTAGAGAACGTCCCGTATTCCGGCACGGCATGAAGGAATTGGAAATTTTTTTGCAGAATGTGAAAAAAAAAACTCTTCGAAATTTGGCAAAATCTGCTTGTTCATTTTCAGTGGTGGGCTTGGAAGTGTGTTGGGCTAGATTCAACGACGCTACTGACGCCATCAATAATCAGAGATGGTAGAGGAAGTATGGCTTGATCTTTGAAAAATCAGCTATAATTAAATATGAGCAGTTACTGAAACATGGACTTACATGGTTAAACCACTGCTCTAGTCATAGCAAAGCAAAAAAGCTACAAAAAGGCACATTTATGAGCACATTATTCAGCAAAATACTTCCACTAGAGACTGGACTGGACTATCACTTTGTTATTGTCCCCACCAATATTTGCCTCAATAGTTCAAATAACGACTGAAATCTGGGGTATCATCCAGTAAGGGTGGGGTATAAGGTGCCACAGTTGCCGCTGCCTGCAAGAACTTCAATTTTTGAGAATTCCCGGAGTGCATGCGTGAGCTATTTCGTTTCCGCTTTGACACCCACTCTTTACTCTATAAGGTAAGGCCCAAAAGCGGTAGCAGCACAGTCGCAAGCGCGCTCTTTAGTGAATCGCTGTCGATTTCGCGCAACGCACAAGGGCAATTAGAAAGTGCTTGGGCATTTTTCTAATCCAAAGAATAGAATAGAATAGAAAAATGCCCAAGCACTTTCTAATTCAAAGACGGAACTGAAACATTGGCCCGGGAGGTTTGTAAAGGGGGGAGAGAAGCTCACCGGCGGCGCGGACGCGAGCGCGTGCCACTGTGACGTCACAGCTGCGGCAAACGCGAGGAGAGGACGAGACAGACAGCATCACTGACACTTCGCTTGAATGGAAGAAAGGTGCTTAGTGGAATTAGTAGTGCCGGGAGCGAGATGTTTTATTGCGCATAGGTACAACTCTAGCGCTCGGAGATTAGGAATTTTTGAGAATATGGAGCAAATCAATGTCTTCATGTAACACCTTAGCAATGCGCATTCACCTCGAAGTTTATTTCAGTAAGTCCATTCTCCGTTGGTACTTCTACTCATTACACAGTGAAGTCAGAGTACGATGGATTCATAGTATGTAATGTGTTGAAAGTGTTGGCGCCAGTTCTTGCTCGATCCCGCCGCCGTGACGTAGAAGTGACGTCACCTGCACGCGCTTGCGTCCGCGCCGCCAGTGAGCTATTCCATGGAGCCGTTTGTTAAGGCTCTTAAATGGTTGCTAAAGTGGCCAGCAGAGAAATGCTATTCAAAAGAGTTATATAAATGAAAAAGCCACAACACAAATAGTGGAACAAAATGCTCTATATGAAACATATGAACCCTGAACCCTAACTAGGTCTTACTCTCTCCCAAGTGTACATTACCAATGTTACCGATCCCCATCTACCGTTTTAGACCATCAGGAACTTTAAAGTTTTTTTTACCAACCCCCCCCCCCCGAAGGTTCCTTTTGCCTACAGCTTATCGCTGAACCTGCTGCAGCTTCACACTCCTACCTCCAAAACTCCAAGACTGATGTTTGCGTGGGTAAACGGGAAGGAGGGTATATACGGCTCCGGATACAGCAAATTCTACGCATCTCTGCCTATTTTAACATAACTCTTCTATTCTTTCACCATCACGCCCCCTATTGAAAAACTCTGAAAACGACCTGACCTAAGCACAAATCGCAAAATATGACCCTCGATGTTGGCTCTCCCGGGTGTGGGTCGCTAGGACAGGACGCGACTTTTTCGCGAAACTTTTCGCTGCGGGAGCCTTAGATCCACTAATGATCAAAGGTGGACGCAGGGTTCTCGCAACGAAAAAAGCTTCGCGCTGCGGAAACGAAGGGGTAGGCTGATGTCAGAGTCCGCGATCCGTCGCAGGTTTCGCTGATTTTCGCGATTGCGCGATTTTAGCGATTTGCGCGATTCACGCGACGGGTCACGGAAATCACAAGAGTCCGATCAATACTGCAAAGTGTTCTAGCCGCCACTTCTGCTTGATAGTGAATGACGACTGCTCATGATTCCACTTGTTTCATATTCAGTGTTTCAAATGTTCAAATGGGGCACTTGCAATTTTTGCGATCCGTCGCAGGTTTCGCGCAAATCGCGAAAATCAGCGAAACCTGCGACGGATCGCGGACTCTGACACCAGCCGTAGCTTTCTGCCCTAGCGAGCCACAGCGGGCGAGTGACGATACTTCTGAAGCACACATTTTTTGTTCGCAATAGCTATGAACTTTAGTAGTTGATATATTGATAAAACCAATGGTGTCCTATCTTTTGAAGAACGCTTAAGTGTCATTAACACAAGGAAAACGTAATCTGTCAATATAATATATTGACAAGAACGTGATAACGTTAGTCGATGAAACTGACGCGTTTCAAGGAAAGGTGGCTGATTAACGACTCTGGTGGTTATTATCGGTATGTAGTCCAAGAAAAAAGTGCAAAAAGCGAATAATTCCCACCAAAAGCTAAATGAACACATATTCTAGTGAGCAAGCGTAAAAGCATTAAAAGCATGCAAGGTTATGTAAAAAGGCAGGAAAAGATGGAAATGGAAATTACATATTGCTAAATTTCCAACAGCATAATGCGTCGAATCGATAATCATTGAATTCAACATTATTAAGACGGGGAAATGCATATAAGCTGAAAAAAGCGTACTGTCCCGTTATACTGAAAATAAAATTTGATACATAACTGCGACGAGACGGTGGAAGCTTTGCGCTCAAAATCGTTGATGAACATGTCATCTGATAGGATTGAAAAGAAATAAACATAGCGACTAAAAAAAACAACTGCACAGCTGCCTGTGACAGCTGATTATGCAGAGATGCAAAACCCGCATATTAGCGCGGCTCAAGAGCATTCGGATATTTGTATGAAGTACACGAATGAAAAAGTGATGAAAAAGAGAAGAGATGAATCTCGACGACGCCTCATCCATCTCCCGTTCATTCCTATCGATGGAACAGTTGGCGACGTCTGACACGACGTAATGTGTGCAGACGCACGCCGCCCTCGCTTCCCGTCGTCACTGTCGCAGCAACGGCGTGCATATTTCGATTCGGTCGCCACAATGGATGGTTGTCGTCGCTTTTCGGCTACTCGCATCGACCTTATCCTACTCCGTACCTCCTCCAATCCGCCACCTCCTCATTGATTCTGCCAAAGATCGCAATTTAGCGCCTCATTCTGTCGGCATGTGGCCTCGTGGCGCGCCGGGTGTTTTTAAAGCTTTCGCCAGTGTTGTGATGTTCATTATAGTAGGCGCATTAATCGTGCTAGTATATCCGCTGAAGCCTACTTTTCTACCCACAAGTGTTCGGATTGAATTGTTTGTTTCTGCAGTGTAATAGTGAAAAACCAGCTCATTGGGTTCGCGCTCGGCTTTTTCGGCTTCGTCAAAGTTCGCCCGAGAACAGCCTGAGGGCTACCTCTTTCACAGCATCGAAAACGCGATGATACTTTACAATTCTTAGTTTGTACTATGTTCGGCTTTATACTAATAAGCAAGGAAGGGAGGGGGAGGGGGCATTTGGGTGCAGAGCACCCATATGAACTTTTGCCCGAGCATAGGGAACTAGGGGGTAGGTGCCCTTGTCATGAGTGCTCGAATCACTCACATAAAGCGAAGGTCACTTTTCGTATATAGAAATTCGTTTATGATCCTAGAAGTCGTCTTCCCGTGAGGGTTGAGAAGTCCATGTCCACCCCCCCCCTGCCTCTACTGGCTCGCGATTGTTTCTTCGCACCCTCCAGCGCCAAAAGCTTTCCTAGCAATTTTTTTTCTGATCTTTCAATTGTTAGCTGCTACTTGTGGCCGGAGTTCGCTGTGCCAAAGGTATCACAAGAATGTTTCGTTTCAGTTGGTGCGGTGAGAGTTCGATTCCCATCTGGGCCGAAGAAATTTGCCCGTATCCAACTCTTGTGAACGTGACAGCATTAGCATAGCAAAATTGCACTGGAATACCCCTTTGGGCTCAATGTAGGCTCGGGGGGGGGCACCCTGCAATTTTGCGTCAGATTCACGAAAATCTTCAGTTTTGGGACTAAGCTTTGGAGGAAAGAGGGAATCCGAGCTGCGTAAGCAATTTTCATTCGCTCCGGAATTCGTCCCTCTGCGTTAGGCTTAGTCCTAGTGGCCTTCCGACAGACTGCTCCCCCCAGGGCACATTGCGCCCCCCCCCACCTTTGTTAGTATAACGCCCACATCCTTTAAACTGCGAATATCTTAGTGGTAGATATATTCTTTTAACTTAGTGATAGATTCTATAAGGCCTTGTACTGCTACCCATAGTAGTAGTACAGTTCCCATACTTGGTTTTGTTCAACCTTTATTTGAGGTTATTTGATGTAGCTTTTGTTACAATTTGAGTGCGCTCAGATCGATTAATATTCTGATATTCTATCGCATTACCACTATTCCTTTCTACCACTATATGGCCGCACTTAATTGTTAGCTTCGGTTCGGCGCTATCGCAATATACGGCATCCTCCAGGAGTAAGCCTAGGAGGAGGCAGGAGCTCCAGGAAAGATGAATGTCGCACGCACCTCGGAGTTTCTCCTCCCCCACCCAAGGCTCGGTCCCGTTTCAACAAAAAAGACATTTTTGCGCGATTTCAAATGCATTGCCATCACTATGTCCCCATATATTGCGATAGCGCCGTAACTTCATTCGGGGTGACTCTTACAGGCACAATCCGCGATTAGTTTATTGAGTCAGTCTTTGTTAATAGAGTTTCTTAGCATCTTGTTACGCGTCAGAGTTGTCCTTTTTTGACGGCTACATGCAGGCAATGGCAATCGAGCATTGGAATATACAATATGTGCGTCATTATCATGCAACCCACCCACAGCCCACTGTTACCTATGCTGTCTCACCGTTTGTCGTGCGTCTCTCGTCGTCACCCTCTGTTTCAGTCCATTATCCACTGCAGTGTTTTGCGGTTTCTTCTCCTTTTCTTTAATGAGTGTCTTTAACATAGCTATTTTGACAATGGAATATTGTCTTCCAGCTCTTCAGTCCTATTCTAGAGAACTATGCTCAAAGAATGCAATATTCATAGGTAGCACCAGTTCTATCTTGGGCCCAGTTAATCTCTTCCAGGTTGCGGGAGCTAACAATTCCTCTGTGTACCATTTTCAGACGCTTCGCTTTTGAAGAGGGTGGGGGTCATCTGAAGGAGTAGTCTACGCGGATTACGGTATCCCATTCCTGCGCGAGGAACCCTTTGGAATCTTCAACTTTTTTCACAGGTTTAAGGCTTATAGTGTTGTATCGTGCGAAGGAACAATTATGAGGCAGAGGATGAGGATTTCTGTCAAAGTTCAGGAAGGATGAAGCACGGGGGTGGCTGAAGTTCCTTGATGCAAAAAAAGAGTGTTCACACTATGTGGGAAGTGTTTGAGGGACCCGAAGCTCCTTGTTCTCCTGGGCTTAAGCAACTTCCTCATCTCCCGGCTCACACGGTGTTATGCTGTAGAATAAATCGTATTTGTCACAGATTTAGTCCGTCCATCCTTTTTTCATAGCTATTTCTCAGACCTCTCTCGATTGCTTGTTCTGCGTCTACGAAAGCAAACACTAACGGCTTTATCACGATGCCATCGAAATGCAGCATTTGAGGATCCGACGGTAAGCGAGCCAGTCATGGAACTGCGATCATCCCATCTTCCTTCACCATGTTGAGACGCCAGGACAATCGAGTCAATGCGACGAATTTTCCTCGAAAGCTCATTGTGTTTGTGCTCGTCATATTCTGCGCTCCTGCTGTCTATCTCCTCATTGGTAAGACATCCGATAAATCAACAGTACGCTTCAAAACGTATCAGGTCTCAACATAAGATTTCGGTCTTGGCTCAAAATGCTCTGCTTATCCATCAGAATCAGCTGCACTATCACATCTTTCCGGTAATAAATCGAAGCCACGCTTTTCAGCTTCACTTCTCGATCAATACTACGCGGTCTTCCGCAGTTGGCGGGTTGTTCAAAGGAGAGTTTTCTAGACGGAATTGGGGAAACTGTTTGAAAACTATTGCCGGACAAAATCTGACGTCCATGTGCCTTCGAATAGGTCTGAGCTTCATGTCAGCACTATGCGGGCCCTGCGAATGCGCGAGATTAACGTTACGTAGAAGAAGAGGCCCAGGTAGTACTTATGGAGCAGCAACTTGTATTTACACCCCTAAAATAGACAGTGTTCCCTTCAATTTCCATAGATAAGTTCGCTCTCATTTTGTGGAGAGATCCACGCTTGTTTTGTTCACCTTGCCCTTTTTTATGAACATTTTTTTTGAGCGACTTTTTTAGTCTGAAATACAAAGCGGTACAACAAAAAA